CTCGAATAATTGTATCTCCTCTTCCAAAATTGTCCATTTTTGTGGACAATCTGCGCGTCAATTATGGAGACATTAGTAATTTCGTAGAATAGTTACCTGTAATTCTTCTTAACGCTGAGTATCCACCTGCAGAGCACCTCGTAGGGTATGTGGAACTTCTGGATCAGGTTGCATTGCTTGAACATTCGGATGGTGGCTCTGCAGGTGTCCTCGTCGGTCAGGTCGAAGTCGATGAACGTGAAACTGTACAGATTGAACGTTTCCGCGGACGGTATCGGCTCCGAGGTTAGCTTGACGGTGTCGTCGTTGCTGGCGGTAGCATGGTAGCTCAAGCATTCGAGGGCTACCTTCTGCTTGGCCATTAGCTTGCAGGCCGACTCGTACATCTGCGTGTTGTGGATCCCGAGGCCGCAGAAGATCGCGAACGCCTCGAAGATCGACACGTCAGAGTCGGTGAAGGACGTTCCGTTGTCCTGCGAACGAAATCCTCTAGTTGATCGTCAACCCTCTTTGCTACCAAACCGCGTACGATACTGAACGGACCTTGTTGATCAGCTGGGCGACGCCGATTACGGTTCTCTGCCCGTTCACGATGGGCATGCAGAGGATGCTCTTGATGGGTTCATTTCCAGATTGCATGACGTCTTTCTTCAGCCAAGTGGCCACATCCCCGATATTCAAGATCTGACCGGTCGCTGCCACGTATCTAGCGATCTGACCGAGAGGACTCCCCAGGTCGTTCGGACTGGGCCTGTACACCTTGCCCTCCTTGCTCTTATTGTCCATCTCGAAGATGGTCGTGAACTTGTTGGTGTCGTTCAGAGCCTACGGATGTTCAAGTTCAACGTCTTCGTCAACAACAACGCCTCCTATTATATCGCGCGAGAACGATCGTACGCTCGTTGCTGCGAGGTCGGGTCTACTCACGTGCTGTTGGAAAATGTCCTCCATTTCGATGTTGTTGCTCTGGGCCGCCAGGAAAGAGAAAAACACGAGTCAGACTTACGAGTTCGAGCAACGCGAGCCGGTCTCACTCACCTCTCGTCTAGACAGCGGCTTTCTGCTCTCTTGCGTCGACTTTCCTGGCCGCTCGACGATCTTTTCGAGGTGGCCCTGAAATCAGACTTCGACCTATAAAGCTGTTCATCGCGGCTTAGCCGGCTTCGACGCTCGGTAAATCGTCTATTCCACTGTCCTTGGTCTGAGAAGTTCCAGGACTGGGTTTGTAAACGTTGTTCTACTTCTGCTATGACATTCGTTCGGGGATATCCTCCTTAAGGGGAGGAGACTCGCGTGAAGCAGTCGAACGAGAGCTGGTATTTGGCAATGTTTTTACAACATAAGACCTTGATGAAATTCATCGCCATTCTGCACATACACGATGTCCCAAAAATGTCTCGCAATCCGGAAATGGCGGGTTCCTCAGA